CTGCTTAACGAGCCGAACACGAGCTGTTCACGAACAACGAGCCAAATTGACAGCCCTAATCTTCGAACTCCGAGCTTAAAATCTAAAACCAATAATTAATATTGAGTAATTAAACTTTTATTTGAAATAATCTTACAATCTTTACATTCTCGACGATCTCTTTTTCTCATAAGAAAATAATCAATTTGTGTTTTATTAGATTCATTCTTACAAGTAATAATATGATCATTTGTTTTCTTAAATAAAATATTAATAATAATAAAATTATAAGCTAAAGTAAAATCTAATATAGTTATATCTTCATTAGTCACTCCAAAATCATAGCCACTATGAATATTTCTAAAAATCTTCTATCACTCAGCCAATAAATCCATTTGAATCTTCTCCAATAAAAATTCATCCTTGTAGAGGTATCATTTGTATTAATTCGTCTAAGTCATTCCAAAATTTTTCTTTTAAATCTATATATAAACCTACTTGAAGAACATAAGTACTTAAAATTATAACTATTTTAGTATTAACAAAGTTATAATTATATCTCTAATTCAATTAATTTTTACATTAACTTTAGAACTCTTATCTATAATTACACCTGCATCGTTTCTACTATGACTCATGCCAGAATACCAAAATTTAAAATCTAAACTGTCAATCTCATTAGTATTTTCTCCAACACATTTAGTTTTATTAATGCAAAAGATATTTATCATCCTGTGAACCATAACCTACATTCTAAGATCTTATTCTAATATTAATTTCATGGATTAATTTCTTGGTCCACATCCGCTTATAATGTGGGAACCCTTGCTAAATGCTTATTTAACACTATACCCGGGCAACAAATTTTCATCCAAACCTTAAAAAAAACTTTGCAAAATAGTAATAGAGCCACATGACCCACCTATTATTTAAATAATGAGAATGATATGCCTTAATTTTGATGCCTCGATACATGGCAAACCAGGTATTAACAAGTAGGATACCATGATCTCAGCATTAATAGTACTCATAAATTTAAGGCATTATTTATTCATGGCTAAATATAACAAGAGCCTATATTCTCATCATGGCAATATTACTAATCTTCAATGAAAATGGCTATACAAATCTATTAACAAGAACGAGTGCAAACATCCATACTTGGTTCAACATAGAAAGATAGATGGCAAAACATGAAAATCCTCTCTAAAATGCACCACTACAGATACTTATTTAAATCATCAAACAGCAAATAAACTCTCCCAAAGGGCAGTCAAATTAATTATTCTTAGAGAATTAAATATAAGGTAAACTATGCAAGAGTTGCTAGTGACTAGGATTTTTATTTCCAATAAAAGAACTAAGTAAAAGAATATTGACCGAGAATAACAAATCAAAAAAAATTTAGAAGTCTGTGTATTACATTTAGAATAAATTTGATATTAAACAAAAATAATTGCAAAAAAAATCATTGTTCTCATAGATACAATCCTTTTCAGTCCACAACAATTTGAATTTTGGAGCTCCTATGTAATTGCTTTTTATGGTTTGTCTATATAAAAATTCAAACCTACATCACGCTATTCTTCTAAAAACTCCAAAGGCCCACCAAGTTGTCTTTCTGCTTCAGCTCTTACAGCAATAGCATTATCCTTATCTCCATTAGACTCTAGTCCACTTATCAATATCCTAAAAGTAAATTCATCAGGCTCACTTTCCCAAAGCTTCATCAAGCAAAAACAGTCCATAACCATTTGAGTAAATCCATACTCTAATAGAGTCTTCATAAGTAAATTGAACCCTTCAGTATCCGATTCCAAACATTCTGCCTTCAAATATGAAAAGGCTTGCTCAACCTTCTCATGCAATCCACTCTTTGCCAAGACTGAGATTATACCAGCATAGATTGACACCTGAGGCTTATACCAATGTTCCCTCCGCAGCTCTTCAAAAACCTAGCAGGGGATAAAGATGTCCAAGAATGTCCAAGAGCTAAATCAATGAGAAAAGTGATTGAACAATATCACATCATTTTTAGGAAGTATGAATTCATAAACACCATATACAAATTTATGAATAAATCTGAAAAAATATAAATAGAACAACGTATGTTCACATTAACATTCACAAGAACAAAAGTAATCAAGCTAACTTAAAAGGCAAAAGATAAAATTCGATGAATCGCAGAAAAAATGTTAAAAGAATTTATGAGAATGCCACATTTTCTGCTAGCTTAACAAGCACTGTTAGGAACTTCAAAGAAATGATAACATTCCTTAGCCATTCAGTTGCCTTAGAAGAAGGCATCTAAACATCAATACATCTTCGTTGAAAAAAAAACTAGGACATGTGACATGACTCTTGGTCACATTTTGCAATGTAATGGGCAAGGATTGCCATGTTATTAAAGGATGCAAATTATTCATCATATTTATTAACCACAACAGTGAAAAAATAAAGATCAAGCAATCAACAAAGTCTAAACTCATCACAGTTTAAGTGTTTCATGAGACCTCTCTCTCTCTCTCTCTATATCTATCTCAAATGCATGCAGGCGCATACAACACTTACAGCTCCAAAATCACCACAAATTTTGGCGGTTCCAAGGCACACTTTCTATCTCAAAAATCATCATAGGTTTACATAGTTCCAAAAAACCCTCTCCCCATATTCAATCTTTTACCACTAATCCAAAATAGCTCCCACCCATCCACCCTTCTCCATGCCTTCCTATGGCCTTCCCTATTGGAAATTGTTGGTTCTCACATTTTTTAAAGCAATACTAATCATAAGAAAGTCTCTCCCTCTCTCTCTCTCTCCATACTTCTCATGCTATTCCAGACTCTACATAGATAGGAAGCTGCTCTTTTCTCTATGCTCTCATTATTTTAATAATACTTCTACCAAAAACCCAAGTCCCATATTATAGAAGTTGAAAAAGAATGTTGGTAAACTAAAAATATTGGTCCACCAGCAAAGAAACTCGGTCAATGTTGACAAAAAAATAAATCTATTTCTTAAATAAAATAAAATAAGTACTAATCAAATAAAAAAAATGATGATTTGTTTAAGCTTTAATATATTGCATACTTAGCAAGAATGAGTTTACAATCATAATACCAACAATAATAATAAAACTAATAATAATAATAATAGATTAAAGTTTTAAAATAGTCCCGAACTTTTTGTAAGGGTCCATCTTAGTCCCAATATCTATAAAAGTACCAATTTAATATCCAAACTTTATTAATAAGGGCTAAAATAGTCCTCTCTTGGACTATTCCAACATAAAATCTATGGACTAATTTAATTTTTTTATAAACATTGTGACTAAACTGAATTTAAATAACCAGGGGATTTTCTTAGTACTATACTCAATAATAATAGATGTGATTCAAATTATTTTGAACTGAACTAAAATGATATATGGCTAAAGAAAAATCAATTTTGCAATTTATTAAACTTTGAAGTTGATTTAAAATTGAATAAGTTTGCATTCAACAGAAAATTGTCAAAGTTTTCTTAGCAACTTTCATTAAAACCATCAAATTAATTATTAAAAATTAATAAAATGATTAATCTTAATCAAGTAATAACAAATGATCTAACAATAAAAATGTGTGGTTATGTATTAAACTGCATATATTTTTTATATTTATTTCTTATTATTTTATTAAGTATTTACATCAATATATATTTTTATATAACTTCAATGGAAACTTCTCATTTCATAGCAGCTATATACTTCAACATCTCGCATTAAAATTTTAATAATAAAATAATAAAGTATGTTAAATAAAATAATTTTCTTATTTGATATCTATTCCCCACTACAGGCCCCATGAAAATCACCAAGCCCCCTTACTCTTTGTAAAAAATAATAATAATAATAAATAATAAAATAAGGATTGCATGCAATTGTGCACATTTTAACTCCTCCCACCATATCACTTATCAACTCGTCAACCAAGAAGTAGAACGTGAAATCACCCCCACATCATACAACAACAACAAAACCTTTATGCCACTAAGGGGTCGGCTACATGAATCATTTTTCTCCATTGTGTCCTATTTAGTGTCATATTTCATTTAATTCTAATAAATTAAGATTCTAATGTGTCATATTTCATTTAATTCTAATAAATTAAGATCATTTTTTATACAATATGCCCAAGTCTTCCAAGATCAACCTCTTTCTTAACATAAGTCGAATCTAAAACATCTACCTCTTCCTTTCTTTACATTCATACATCCATGCATCCATCCATCCACATGCATCGCCTAAACAACTAAAATTCAAATTACGTAGCATTTTAATAGATGTAAGCCACACTTTAGCCCAAATCGGGCATTCCAATGGATGTAATCCCCAAACCAAATCTAATTTTAATTCGAGTATTTCAATGGATGTAAGCCCCAATGCAACTAAATTTGGACATTCCAATTGATGCAAGCCCTAACTCAATTTATATCTGGGCCGGTCTTCCTTGCCAATAAACTAGCTAAATAGATTAAAAGTCCAAAATATATATATATGTAATAAACATAAAAATTTATATGCATTTCACCTTGGTTACAAAGTAGCCTGAGAAAAGACAATTCATGGCTAATAAGCAAATTTCCTGAATGTTATAGCATTTAGCTCTCTAATTTGGTATATTACTACAATGATATTCCCGAGATGGCAGGATAATTGGATCTTGATCGGATTCAACTTCATCCCCCCAAAATATTTCTCGTTTGATATAAGGGCCATTTATATACATATCATCCAATTGATATGTATTTACATATATAACATCTAAACTTTATTTTTTACATTTATACCACCCAAATATTTTATATCACAAGAATAATATCACTATGTTAACTTTTAAAAAGTGAAATATATTTTTCATGTACAAGTAAAATTACATATACGTAAAAACTAAAGTTTACGAGTTAGATATATAATACAAAGGAATTGACTGGTATTGAAGAAAATTTTTTTTAATATAATCATTAATTAAAAACATTCAGTTTGATCTACAAAACCATGGAAATGCAATCATCCTTAATTAAAAGTGCTATTCTGAGAGCGGAAGAAGTAATTAACAAATAAGGGCTTACGCTTATCGAAAGTTTAGACCCTGGTTCTAAATAAGCCTTACTATAAATGTTAGAAAAATTATGCTTAAATTAAAATTAATATACCTTGAATAAAATATTATTTATATAAGACAAGGATTTGGGCTTTTTTCCCCAAGCAATACCCAAAATCATATCATCATATAATCCTGTCTCCGGGGTTGTTAGGTAGAGGGGTTTTAATAAGATCTATCTCGGATTTGCTAAATTGAGCCAAAATGCAAAATGCAGAAGTTCCATGGATTTATGTAATTTTGGATTCAGTGAATTCAGTTTTGCCTTCTATTCAGCCTAAATCCAGCTTTACAAAATCCGAGGAATGGGTGGTTTTAAACACTTAGAGATTTTCTAAAATCCTACTTGGAGCCAAATAGCTCCTAAAGTTACGTATACTAGCATTGACTAAAGTTGATATATTAAATAACTAAATCAAGAGATCACATACATATTAACACCCTAAAGCCCAACAACCTCCAACCTTTTTCTACTATGCATCATCTTTTCAAAAAACATCCATGTGAAAACTTTAAAAGCAAACCTAATCAATTTAGGCACCACAGCATAAGGCTAATAATAACAATTGCGTAAAACAAATTCAACCACCCAGTATTTTCTCTATGTCCAATTAATGCTAGTTGAGCCTTCAATTAGCAAGCAATTTCGACTCAAAAAAAAAAAAGTTTTCATTCATGAAAACCTCAGCTGGAATGACAACTATGTAACATTAGTCGACAAAGAAAGGAACAAAAAACGGGAAGCATAAATAAAAAGTAAAAGCTGTCAAAAAACTAAGGGTGCGTTTGGGGCAGCTTTTTAGCTGTGGTGCGGTCCCAAAACGTAAAACTCTTGTTTCTAAAATGTGGTATGGTAGCGGTGTGGGATAAGCTTATGTAAACGCGGGCGGTCCGTGTTTTGATCACGTGATTTCCTTCGCGTGCCCTCGGTTTCATCCATGTGCCCTCGGTTTTCTTCTTTGTTGTACATGGTGAATCAGTGCTCTAGCTCCCTTCTCCTCTTCTAACTCCGGTCGATAGTCCCCTTGAAAGGTGGTCGATGGTCTCTAGTGGCACTCTCATCTCCTTCCTCCCTTCTCGCCATTTCCGAACACATCTTCTCTTTCATCCTCTGGTATTTCTTACCCCTCTTTCCCCTTGTCTTACCTCCCTCTATGAAGTATGTGATTGATGTTGAGCTACGATTTTTGGCTTCCCCTACAGTAGCTTGGTTTTTATGAATCATTCTATGTGCTTATGATTGTGATTGTCGTTTGTAACTTGGTGTCTTGCGATTTATGGCTTAGCTTTGTGATTGCCCCTTGTGGCTTAGTTTTTTGCGGTTCATATGAAAAAATTGATGAAAGTATTCACGAGAGAAGTTCATAAAAAATGTTATCATTTGTGGCTTGATTCTTTGCTGTTTATGGCTTACCTCTATGATTGCCTTTTATAGCTTGATTTTTTGCAGTTTATGGCTTACCTCTGTGATTGCCTTTTGTGGCTTGACTTTTTGCGGTTTATGGCTTACCCCTGTGATTGCCCAGAGAAATTCATAAAAGCATAAGAGAGAGAAATTCATGACAAATTTTTACTTTTTTGGCTTTGTTTTTTCGGTTTATGTCTTAACTCTGTGATCGTCTTTTGTGGGTTGCTTTTGCAGATCTATGGAGAAAATTGATGAAATCATTTGAAAGATAAATTCATGAAAAAATTTATTTTGTGGGCTGGTTTTATAAATTTCTGTGGATAATTTGATAAAGGAATTTGAGAGGGAAATTCATGAAAAATTTGTTGTTTGAGGCTTACTTAAGCCTTTACTCTATGGAATCATTGAAAAAAAAAAGATGAGAAAATGGTGGTTGTGTTGGTGTCCTGCGTTGATTCTATGTATGTTGGCTATATGTGTTTTGGGTGGCTCTGAGCTGGTGGTGGTAGCGGCGGTGTTGTGTTGGGTGTTTGTGTGGTGATGTCGATGATGGTAAGTGAGCGGTGTGGTGGTTGTGGTAGTCGAGGTGGTGGTTGTGTTGGAGCTGTGGTGAGTGAGGTGGTGATGGTGTGTTGTGTGTGTGGAGTTGATTACATTACTATTGTGTGTGGTATGGAGGAGCAGTGGTAATGCTATTGTGGCATTCTCATTTTTCTCTGAGTTGTGTTAAATATTTTTTATGGCAAATATTTATGATGTTTAGTTTTTTCATGCAAATATACACAATAGTTAAAGCCAAAGAGATCAGTTCACCTGCAATGTGGGATAAAGATACAAAAATGATAAGAGAAATAGACAGACAACCTATTTCAACAAGGAGGGATGGCAAAATATCATGGAAAAATTTAAGAAAAGTACAAGTAGAAAGGATGATACGATGCAGTTGAAAAATAAGAAGAAGCTGAAAAAGAATAGAAAAATCTGGAAAAAATTGAAGAGATAAATCACGGGCTTAGGTTGAGATCCGATAAAGTGAACAATTAATGCTTCCAATGAGTGGTGGGTTGAGAGACTGACGGTGAGCATTTCTGAAATGTCCACTGCTTTAGTTCAATTTTGAAACGTCTATTGCTTACGATAGGATGTGATCATTTTTTAATGCAAGTTGTATATGTTTTTTTTTTTTTTCTTTTGCATTTTTTTTCTTTTTTTCTGTATCAATACCTATATTCATACATCCATATATATATTCACACGTACACCCATACATCCATACATAAATACATACACGCATCCATATATACAAGCATATATAAACACATGCATACATACATACATGTAGGGCTGTCAAAAAAGCTCGTTGTTCGTGAACAGTTCGTGTTCGGTTCGTCAATGAGTTCATGTTCGATTCGTTCGATAAGTAAACGAGACAAACACAAACAAATTTTTTTCGTTCGGTTAGTTAAACGAACCAAACACGAACAGTGATGCGTTCGTTCGTGTTCGAATCGTTATTGTTTGAAATATAAAATAATATAAAATAATTATATATAAAAAATTTATTATATTTTAAAACATTAAATTTTATAAATTATAATATATAATAAAATAATAATAATAATATATTAATATACTATAGTAGTAATATAATATTGAATATTTATATAATATAAGTTATATAATTAATATATAATATTATTTTTATATATTAATATTAGGGATGTCAAACTGGCTCGTCGTTCGCGAACAGCTCGTGTTCGGTTCGTGTTCGACTCGTTCGTTAAGAAACGAACACGAGCTTATTTCAAACAAACTAAATTTTAAACGAACCGAACACGAACACAAGCTTTGGCATACCTACATGCATGCATACATAGATACATACATACATACCTACATGCAAACATACATATATACATACATACATACATTCATATATCATATATCCATCCATAAATACATATAATCATAAATACAGGCATCCATACATATATATATATCCATGCATCCATGCATACACACATCCATGTATCCATACATATATTCATACATTCATACATCCATCCATACATCCAAACATTCATCCATAAATCCATCCATGCATCTATCCATGCATCTATGCATTCATCAATCCATACATCCAACCATCCAAAAATACATTCATAGATACATAGATCAATATATAAATACATCAATTCATATATCCATACATTCATACATCCATAAATGTATCCATACATACATCCATACATCCATACATACATCCATACATCCATACATACATACATTCAGATATTCATCAATACATCTATGCATATATCCATACATACATCAATACATCCATAAATGCATTCAAACATCCATACATACATTCATCCATACACACATCCATACATACATACACCTATATATCAATACATACATACATTCATGCATATCCATCCATCCATCCACCCATCCACCCATCCATCCACCCATCCATCCATCCATCCATCCACCCATTCATATATTCATATATCCATACATTCATATATCTATCCATCCATCCATACATACATACTTACATTCATTCATTCATACTTCCATACAACCATTCACACATACATCCATACATTCATCCAAACATATATCCACACATATATACATACGTACATTCATATATCCACCTATATCCATACATTTATACATCCATACATACATAAATCCAAAAATCTATACATCCATGCACCCATACATCCATAGATCCATACATCCGTCCATATATACAACACCTTAACAACTACACTTCAAATTATTTAGCATTTTAATAGATGTAAGCCACACTTTTGCCCGAATCAGGCATTCCAATCGAAGTAATCCCCAAACCAAATCTAATTTTAATTAGAGCATTTCAATGGAAGTAAGCCCCAATGCAACTAAATTTGGACATTCCAATTGATGTAAGCCCCAACTCAAATAATACTTGGGCCGGCTTCCATGCTAACAAACTCACTAAATCAATTAAAAATTCAAAAAAAAATATATGATGAATATATAAATTTATATACATTTCACCATGCTCTACATAGGATCCCTGAGAAGAGACAATTCATGGCTAATAATCAAATTTCCTGAATGTCACAGCTTTTGGCTCTCTAATTTGGAATATTATGACCATTGATATTCTCGACATGACGGGATAATTGGATCTTGATCAGGTTCAACTTCATCCCCCAAAAACATTTCTCGTTTAATATAAAGGGGGCATTTACATACATACCATCCAATTCCGATTTATTTACATATCTAATATTTAAACTTTATTTTTTACATTTATATCGCTCAAATCTTTTAAATCACAACAAAAATATCACTATTTTAACTTTTAAAAAGTGAGATACATTTTTTCATGCATAAGTAAAATGACATATATGTAAAAACTAAAGTTTAGGTGCTAGATATATAAATACAAAAGAATTGAGTGATATTGAAGAAAATCTTTTTTAATATAATCAATAATTAAAAAAAATTAGTTTGATCTTGAAAACCATGCCAATGCAATCATCCTTAATTAAAAGTGCTCTCCTACGAGCAGAAGAGTTAATTAACTAAAAGAGTTTGTGCTTATTGAAAGTTTAGACTATATGTTTAAATCAGCCCTAATATAAACGTTAGAAAAATTATGGTTAAATTAAATTTAATCTATCGTGAATAAAATTTTATTTATATAAGACGATGATTTGGGCCTTTTTTTCCTCAGCAATCACTCCATTAATATTGCAAACCCCCATCCCCTCCCATCATATCATCATACAATCCTGTCTAAGGGGTTGTTTGGTTGTTAGAGAGAGGTTTTAATAAGACTTATTCTTGGATTTACTAACTCGAGTCAAATGGCAAAATGCAGGAGTTTCATAGATTTATAAATTTTCGGATTTAGTAAATTCAATTTTGTCTTCTATTCAGCCCAAATCCGGCTTTACAAAATCCGAGGGATGGGTGGATTTAAGCACTTGGGGATTTCCTTAATCCTCTTTGCAGTCAAATAGCTTCTTAGGTTGTGTATACTAGCACTGACTAAAGCTGATTATTTAAATAACTTAATCAAGAGATCACATACAAATTAACACCCTAAAGCCCAGCCCAACAACCTCCAATTTTCTACTACGGATCGTCTTTTTAAAAATCAACCATGTAAGAGCTTTAAAAACAAATATAATCATTTTCAGGCACTACAGCATAAGGCTAATAATACCAATTACGTAAAACAAATTCAACCACCTGTATTTTCCTGATGTCCAGCTAACGCTAGCTGAGCCTTCAATTAGCAAGCAATTTCCACTCAAAAAACAGTTTCCATTCACGAAAACCTCAGCTGGAATGACAGCTATGTAACACGAATCCACAAAGAAAGGAACAAAACATGTGAAGCAAAAGCAAGAAATAAATGCTGTCAACGAATTAAGTCTATACAAACCTGGAAAGCCAAGATGGCCTCTCCCTGCCTCTGGAGTTCGCGAAGCACAGCCATAAGATCAAACTTTACCAGCCGCCGGACCTTGGTCTCGATTTCATGGGCCACTGCATCTAACCCGCCATTTAACTTCGCCCTCTTAAGAGCCTGGACGGCTTGGATGCCCTCGATGCTTAGGTACCTTCCCCTCTGCGTTGGTTTCCGATTCATGCTCCGATCCCTCATGGTAATGGATACACCCATCGCCAATCTCTTCGACCTCCATGATCGTGGATTTTCGGAATGAAGACTGTTCCTGGAGGTCGGAAACCGCAGGGAAGAGATTAGGGTTCCGGCGAACGATCGATAGATTGGCGGGAGACGAAGATAATACAAGTTCATTTCACTTTTTATCGCCAGCTGGATCCTACTAGCGTTTCGATTTTTTTCCCGAAAGGGAAAATATTTGCGCAAATAAGCGCGGGTAGGAGTTATTCAGAGTCACAGGAGTTATATCAAGATTATATTCCTGTAACATCCGTATAACTCTCTTGTAGCATTCATATAATTTATTTGTACACATAAAATTACAGAAGCGCGGAACTCATTTTTAGTTTACAGGTAATTTACAAAGAGGTTACATGGGGGTTACAGAGGGGTATAACCCAATATAACTCCATGTACCCCTGAATAACCCCTGAATGTAAGCAGCGCATGTAAAATTCAAAAAAAAAATTATATAACCATCTAAAATATTAAATAAAATATTTTAATCTCTTAAATTTCATATATAACATTTTAATTATTTTTTAATTACAATCACTCTTCTAAGCCCACTTATAAATATTTTGAGTAAATATTTAAGATGATTAAAATGTTATAATTAAAAACTAGATAGATAAAATTCAAATGACCAATATATAAAAACTCAAAAAGAAATATCATACCCAAAACATCCACCAAAAAAATATCGATGGTCAAAATTCAATCAGACGAATATTTTAAATTTTAAATTTATTTAATAGTTAATGTAATATATTATTTATGTAATATATTATAAAAACAATAATAGCATTAATTTTTTAAAATGAAATACACAATTTCATAAATATATATACTAGATATTAAATGAACAAACATCAAAGTTTAATTAAATCTTAAACATAATATTGTATAAGATCTTAGACAAATTATTTCGTATGTATAAATCTAACACATAAAATCTAATTTTACATTCATAACATTTCGATGTCATAAATTTATAAAAACTTACTAATAATAATATTTTTATTTTGATATTTAAAATTAGTGTCATATATGAAATGTGGTAAATAAATAAGAACTATGTGTTATGTATGCAAATGCCCCCCAATAAAAATAATATTTCATGAAATTATAAGAAAAGGACAAATGCAATACATTATTTTAAGCTTTTTTTAATTAAAATGTGTTTTATTTCGGAACGCAATTAGAAGAAGCATTGGACAATATAACTATTAATTTTTATTTATTTAGTCGGTGATGATTTGGATGGCGTACAATTATTAATTAGTGGGATGTGCGTATCTTATCTTAAGTTGAAGGCCATCATGTCTTCAAATTATTAGTCAAAATTAATCAACGCATACAATAGAAGTAGGGTAATTTACATGCATACCCACCCCCCC